TACAGGGATACCTTTACTTACTTTTTTTTTATTTTTAAATAAATAAATAAACAATATATTATTGAACCTCGCTGAGGGAATTATGTGCTTGAAATATCAGACAAATTAGTAACCTGTACAAATCTACTTTTGCTGTATTACCAAGATAATAAAAATAAAAAAATTGTCATAAAGAATTTTCTGAAGTATTAATATATATATATATATATAATCTTTCGAAGGCTCCCGTGAAGACTAGACGTGGCGACAGGCTTACTGTCATGCCCAGGATTCTGTTTCACACATGCTCCAGGGCCAGGTAATGCTGTACTCTGCAGGTCGCACAGCATCCAGAGTGACAGAACTGAATATAGGCTAGACGGTGGCACTGCAGAGGAGAGTAGGCAGGTCAAATCAGCTACCGAGGCAAATGTCAGAAGTTCAGGCTGCTGCAGTGCAGTGGAGGCCAAGGGAACGTCCTATTAGCGATCAGTACCGAGCAGTGCAGTGCAACTCTGCGCTGTTATGACGGCGATTGTCTTATGTTAGTAATATGGATGCACCCCAATACTTTATTTTCCCCACGGTTGGGTAACTACCGTATTTACGCATGTATAGGCCGCGTGCGTGTATAGGCCGCAGCACAATTTTCAGAGAGAAATTATAGAAAAAATAATTTTCTTGGNGGAAACCGGGATCGTGGGTTCGGATCTGTTTCCTGTGAGGTACGAACTGAATTCTTATATATTATTCTTATACACTGCCGGTCACGGTAGCCGAGCGGTCTAAGGCATGAACTGTCTTCGCTCGCTCGGAAACCGGGATCGTGGGTTCGGATCTGTTTCCTGTGAGGTACGCACTGAATTCTTATATATTATTCTTATACATTGCCGGTCACGGAAGCCGAGTGGTCTAAGGCATGTACTGTCTTCGCTCGCTCGGAAGCCGGGATCGTGGGTGTGGCATAGGTGTTTGGTATGTGTTTATTTTGTGTTTGTGTTGTCCTGTGTTTAGGTAGAGGCCTTGCGACGAGCTGATCACCCGTCCAAGGATTCCTACCGTCTGTAAAATGATTAAAATGAAAAAAGAAAACAACCTCGACACCGTATGGTAGACGAGGAACGGATTATGTAAGTAAAGATAAATGTAAAGTTGTCCCTGTGTTTAATTAATTAAACGCTATGTCATGAAGACGTATGGGGGAGTCGAGATATAGCTCCACCATTCTTGACTTCGGTACTAGGAGGAAGTGAGTGGTCAGCTTCATGCCCTGGCCGCTTTACCGCCGGGGAAATCGCTATCTGTACCCAGAGTCGATCTGGACGCTGTGGAAAAGAGAAAAATTTGCGCCTGCTGGGTATCAAACCCGGGCCAACCAGCCGGCAGCTATACCGACTGAACTATCCCGACTTCTAAGGATGGTGTTGATAGTACTATAGTTACGTTTGCGAATCCAACGTTATCTTTAGTTGCGAAGTAGAGATAAAATAATAATAATGATAACAAAAATCCGTAGTAACTCAAAATTAGAATCCTACCAAAAACGAAAGGAGCGAAAGCCTAGGGGACGGATTACTGGCTGTGGTTGTTTTTTCCAGTCAGGACAGAGGCCGGAGCCAGTTTCAACAGGCGGAAACATGTATGTAGTTTGCATAATGCACAACATACTTATCACAATAATGCGACAGATGGTGCTGCTTATGACAGATGACACATTTATAAATTTAATATTTATTTAAAGGTATATTCCAAGCATTTTATGAAACCCGAAGGTTCATTACCGTGTTCACAAGAGCCCTCCACTGGTCCCTATCCTGAGCCAGATCAATCAAAACCATACCATCTCATTCTATCTCTCTAAGATCCATTTTAATATTGTCCACCCACCTATGTCTTGGTCTTCCCAGTGGTTTCCTTCCTTCTGCCTTTCCCACCAATATCCTATACGCATTCCTCTTCTCCCCCATTCGTGCTACATGCCCTGTCCACCTTATCCTCCTTGACTTGATCATTCTAATTATACTTGGAGAAGAGTACATGTTATGAAGTTCCTCATCATGCAAATATTCTCCTCAACACCCTGTTCTCAAATACCCTCAGTCTGTGTTCCTCCCTTAATATTAAAAATGAAGATATGAGCAGATGTTTACAATACATTCGCCAACCAGCTACAAAGTTCTAAGTGGCCGGATGGGGCCCGAGGGCAGCAGTTTGCGCATCTTATCCCAGAGGGTTCAGGATGGAACAACAACTTAAAAAAGTATTTTTGGTATTAATATCTTCTCGTATATTTCTATTTCTAATTTTGATTTTTCTTTTCAAAAAGTCTATGAGGGCATATGCCTGGCTTGAACCCCCCCCCCCAGCCCGCTCCCGTGGTTAGAAGACTCACTGGTGTAGCTTTAAGAATGCAGCATGTTCCTCTAGAAAACTGGTAAAGGTTTACTAGCGAATCCTATATATTTGCAATCATTGCTGTGAGAACACAATATATTGCGAAAACAATGTTTACGCACGTGGAATGTCTCTTCCTTACAAGAACAAACTTCGTCAGGGACTACTAACCTCAATAAGGCAGCCTGTAACCCAATTTAATACCAGATATAGAAGTTCTGTGATCTACATGTCGCTAAACCGACCAATCAAGCATGCCTCTCAGTGCCGCTGTCGCCAACTTCTGTTCCTATTCGTAATTACCACCAAAACTATTACCAGCTCACATCTACTGTAAGGACAGATTGGCAGGTGATTACTGTCGACATGTGGCCCCCGGTACCTCAGGATGTGAGGCTTAGTGTGCCTCAGAACAGCTCTGAGTTTCATGGACAAGAGACACTTCTGGACCGAGAAGAACAGATCAAGTGCTGCCGTCTTTCGGCAAAGTTCTGCACTGTAATAGGACCGAAACAATGGTCTTTATGGCTGGTCATATTGATCGGCTGATGGTCGAATAACGGAGTTCGAGTCCCGGTTGTAGTAAGATTTTCTCTTCTCCATGTCGCCCAGACCGGCTCTGGGGCCCACATAGCCTCCTATTCAATGGATGAAGGGGGCTCTCTCCCAGGGGGGTAAAGTGGCTGGGGTGTGAAGCTGACCACTCACCTCCAACTAGTGCCGAGGTCAAGAAAATGTCGATCTATACATCCACTCCCCCATACGCCTTCATGGCGTAGTGCTTAATTAGTTAAGCACAGGGACAACTTTACTTTTTATATGTGATATATGCAGTAGAAGGTACTGTGATGACTATACTCTTGATCTTGAGATTTTAACGACTTATACGTGTTTTCATATATATATATATATATATGCGCGTCACTAGCTCCTGAAAGGTTGGACGGATTTTATTTTATTTGTCATTCAAGAGTTCAGCCACCATAGGTCAGTGTCCAGTGAACATGAACGTTATAGCTCCAAAAAATGAGAGCCCTTCACTGACGCCCCCAAACAAAAAATAATTATTTTCTTCAAAACGGCTTCAACGATTTTGATTACATTTCAATGGCATGTGGAGAATATCTCCTTAAATTAAATTATATCTATGATATCTTCAGGCCTGGTCTAGAAAACAGAGATTAACGGGCGTGGATATCCGTTGCGCTGACTATGCGACACCCTCTATCCGCAAAAGATGGCACTAACTTCGCCGACAATCGGCGGTCGCTCGGTCGATATAGTTCGCTTGCGGACTACAGGCCACAGAGTTTGTTTTTGTTTTTAGTTTGTTTGATATCTTCAGGATATCATGTACACCACCTGTGTGACAAAGTGGGCGCAATACCTTCTCAAGAACCTTTTGAACATTGTATATTTTGATTGGATTGTGAGTAGGAGAGGCAGAGGTCATAGTAAATAAATAAATACACGGAATCACACACGAAAACATATAAATACTCCCGAATTTGTCTCCGTCTCTACGTCTTTCATGACTTGTGCACAGTGCCCTGTGAGTACATGAACCTAGGTTCTGTGCAATCTTGTGTAATGTTACTTTCCCACGTTCTTCTTCTTGTAGCAAGCGACTGAGACAGTTAGATATGCTACAGCTTAGGCATTATTGATCTGGAAATGGGATGGTAACTAGCAAAGAAATGGCGGGGACAGGATACAGCGGAACGAGGCTTGTTTTGAAAACGAAGTCGCGCGCGCGCGCATGCGCGTAGTCTCACAGCCTACCGGTACAGTTGCACCTCAACCGTCAGTAAAGCCGACATAGAACGGTTGCTACGTGTTTCAGCACCCCGGCCATCACATGTAGCTACTACAATAAATTCAGCCGGTGAATTATGTCGTGCAGTGAATAAATACAATATTTTAAATAACTGTTATTTTCTGCCACAAGTATAATATAAATTTGTCCAAGCTGGAATGCAAACAGAAGCTCAAATTCTATGAACACATCAACTTAATTTAAATTTATATTAATTGTATAAAATTGTTACTTTTTTTCTGGTGTTGTGAATCAAATTTCAAGTTTTTTTTTTCTCGCGTAATTATCGGCACGTAACCCAGGCAACCGTAAACAATTACAAATAATATTATATATGACTGTTGGTTTAGTTGTGATTGAACTAAAAGTTGTTTAATGACTTTCTTGTATTGATTTATGTTCCGTATCTTTTCCCAAAACCTATATTTGTTACTCAAAAGAGACGAATATGCAACCAGCAGTGTGTTTCAATAACATAAATGTTAGCTGTGATCCTACTTGTCTTTAAATAGGAAATATCTTCATGTCGCCTTGAAATAGAAATGTTACATATCGTCGTTTTGAAAAGAATCTTCGAAGATCAAGTTATATAAATATAAATAAATATATATTTCGTAAGAGATAAATATACATATTAAAAAAAATCGTCTGAAAAAGTTGATACGTGTTGAAGCTACGTAATTATATATTTTTCGACTTAACACTAATTGACGTACCAGCGTTAGATCCACTATATATATATGAATCTTGATTTTTTCCCTTTTTAGATAAATTGGATCGGGAAAAACAAATTCTTCCAAATATATAAGAGTTATAATTTTCTAGCCATATTCAATGTGAGATTTAAAGATGAGTTTATTATGTAACTCCCGTCAATTGAATCTGAAAAGACACAACTACGAAAAACAGGTCACTGCATTTATCAAGGGACACGTATTTCAAGTCCAGATTAAAAATAAATTCTTTTGAAATGTGTGTTTATAGTGTCATGTGATTGGTTGATAGTGTTAGTTGTTTCGAAGATGTTTCTCTGATATTCCGTCAATAAGGACGATACAATTAACAAAGGATCTAGTGAGAAGATATTTTGTGACAGTCGACAGTCAGAAACTTGCCGACGGTGTAGCTACAGCTGTGGTACAGTCAGTGATAAGATTTTGTACCTCTCTAACATGACCATGGAGAACAAGGCAGTTGATATTGACCGCGTTATGGCAGATGATGAACCGTGTACAATGGAGACCACACGGATGAGGCCTTATCTGGATATCTGGGATGTAAGTAATCATCTTTACACTGAACCCGATCCTCTGGTCAATCATATCTGAACAGATTGGTGTTCCGGTAGATATAGAATTATATATGGGAGCAGCCCGTTTGGAATATCTGCCGGAACACTCGTTATTCTGAGTTTTTTTCGTGGATTTCCTCAGTCCCTCCAGGAAAATTCCAGGGATGTTTCCCTCCCCCCCACGAATTCGTCATTTATCAGCCATTCGACAAAGCGCAGTCCGGTTAATGACAGTGTCATTCATCATAATCATCATTGGCAAAACAACCGGTTTTAAGATACTGACAGTTTCTATAGATCATCCGGTTTTCAAATTTTTGGATTTTGCAACGCTTTTTTTTTCACATAGCAAGGTCGTCAGTCTTGCGTTCAGCTCCCTAAACCGGAGGACCAGGTCTCTGTATTTATGTGCCCCAGTGACAGGGTGACCCAGTTATACCCCCAGGCACCGGGTTCCCTTTCGGTCGCTTCCTACGACTCTCATGGCTACGGTGGAGGTATTCGAACCCATCTCCAAACAGAAGACAGAGTTATTAAAAGGTAAAGTTATTCCTGTGCTTAAATAATTAAGCACTACGCCATGAAGACGTATGGGGCAGTGAATGTATAGATCCACATTTTCTTGCCCTCGGTACTAGTTGGAGGTGAGTGGTCAGCTTCACGCCCCTATCTCTGTATCCCCGGTGAAGAGCCCCCTGTACCTACTGTATAGGAGATTGGGTGAACCCCAGAGCCAGTCTTGCCGATGGAGAAGTGAAAATTCTTGACCATGCCGGGACTCGAACTCCGACCCCTCGATATCCAGCCCGTATCCAGTCACTATACCGACTACGCTATCAAATTCCTGCAATTCTCACGTCCATGGACTCGAAATAGTACAGTCAGTTTAGTGACTAGACTAAGAGTCTAACAACTTCGGAACAGGGGTTTGATTCTTGGTAGGACCGAAGATTGTTCTATGTCCAGATCGGCACTGGAACCCGTCCAGCTTGCTATCCAGTGGGAACGCAGGATCTTCTCACGTGGTAGAGCTGCCGGAGCTAGCAAACCATGACAACTCAACACCCCAATAATAGGGACGGCACTGGAAACGATCCTGAGCCAGTTACATCCACCTGCCACCCTTACAGTCCATCAACAGAAGATAACAGTATCCCATCATTTCCTTCTGCCTTTTTGAACTTGTCGTTTACCACAATTTTCTCAACGAAATCAACTAAACATCCAGATTAAACAACTCCAATACCAATGCACATTAATAGACACGATCCTGAGCCAGTTTCATCCGCCTCACATTCTTCCAACTCGTATCCCTAAGATATACCTCAATCGGGGCTCGGGGCAGTTCAGTCAGTACAGTGGTTAAGCTGTGGCCTGTTTGAAGAAGGAATCACAGTTCGAATATTTGCAGGGAAAAATATATTTTCTGTCCAGACTAAATCTGACCCCAACCAAGCCTCCTATCCAATGGGTACCGGACGTTCTTCATTCGTGGGTAAAGCGGTCGGTACGTGAAGCTGACAACTCACCTACATCTTCAGATTATACTTCAACTCTCAATACATTTTCATGGCGTGGTGTTTAATTAATTAAGCACAAGTTTAACTTGGCCATTTACGTGTCAGTCGCATAACGCCACATCTTTCCGAATATTCCAACTGGAATTTATACAAATACTTCATAATTTGCATTGAAGAAATGGAAATATTTGGGAGTTAGAGTCTCTGAACTGCTGGTACATTCATATTGTCACGTAGTATGTGTGACTATAGACGGGGTTTGGATTGGTGACTTGATCTATTGAACAATTATACACTCACAACTCGTGACAACACTTTTCAGATCACTGACACACAGACTAGTGTCCTCAGTCTATTAGAGTCTAGCGGCCTCCGTAGTCTAGGGGTAACGTTCCCACCTCATGACTCAAGGTACGCGGGTTCAAACCCGGCGGAGGTCGTGGAATTTTTAAGGGCGGAAAAATTTAGGGAACAAGTCCTCCGGGAGGAACTTTAAGCCGTGGGTCCCGTGTCGTAGCTTTACGGCACGTAAAAGAACCTCATGTCCCAAGGGGACCACTGAGCCAAATTCAGGACATTTCCCGCCCAACAGTAGTCTCTAACGCCTCTGGTAGATGGGGGAAGCATCGAGATACCGCTGAGCCAGGAGGCCGAACTCGCTGGATGAGTCGGGACTGATGGCACGCACCAGTACCAGTAGGGAATAGAGACTGGTAGAATATCATAGGGGGACGCATAATGGACCAAAAAGTTGGTCTAAGTGCATGGGGAAACCCACCCTCTCCAATACAATACAATACAATACAATATTACAGTCTCCACTAGCCGCTTTCTGGTAACGGATTTTAACACCGGAACTATAACAGTCTCCCTGAATTACACACTTCAAATATCACACATAGTCTTGTATCCACAGCCGGACTTTCAACTGAACACTAATATCCTCGCCTTCTCTTCAGCGCCTCGTTTCGCTTATCACTTCTCGGTAAGGACCACACAGAAACACAGTTCTCCTATTGTTGTGTCTAAATTTGTTGCCCTAGAGATGTGCTTACCGCGCCGTTTGGTTAGCAACGGCCGCGACATGGACCACAGAAAGCACTGTTTGTCTGCTCTATACAATTGTTGCTTTCGTGTCTGTTGCTGCGGGAACTTGTTTACCAAGTCGTTGCCTAGAAACGACTCTGATATATTTGCTTATATCGCGGCTGTTGCAAAGTAACGGCTCTACGCGCTAATAGTTTCCAGGGGAATATTTTGCGACACTGCCATTAGCTGGACTATTTAACGTATATGGTAGAATGATTGGTAGATGATGAATTATAAAGGATTTGGAAGGAAACGATCTAATTTCGATTCCCATTCCGGAATTTGTCTGGAGGAGCACGAGAAAATCATTAAAACATCACGCCAGATTGGTCGTCTCCCAGCTAGGATTTGAATCGGCTTTCTCTCGAATACTAATCTACAGCGACCCCGTTACGACAGTCCGCTCTGTGGAATAATAGCGAGTAATGATTTAGAAAAATGTGAAAGGAACTGGTCGTGGCCTAATTTAAGTTATCAACCTAGTATTTGTTTGCAGGGTAAAAGTAAATGTGAAAAAGAAGTTAAAGTTACCCCTGTAACAGGCCGTGGCGGCCCATAGGGTTGTGAGACGTCGAGGCTCCCACATTTTCTAGACAATCGGCTCATAGATAGCGGTAAGGCTGTCAGCCTTACGCTCCGGCCGCCATTTACCCTCAGGAAGATTCCTCGTACTCATTTCTGTTAGAGGCTGAGTCGACTCCAGGGCGATAGCGCGGCTGGAAGGATTAGGTGAACCAAATAAAATCCAATGACCTAATCGGGACTCGAACCCACAACCTTCCGACTTGTAGCATAGTGCCTCAACCAACTACGCTACCGCGTGCCCCCACTTGTTTGGATGGAGAGATGAAAAAAAAAATAAAAAAAGAAACTCACTCGTAAAAGTTGATGTTAGACCGAGGTTCGAACCGAGCACTTGCGGAATAGAAGTCTGAAACGTCACCGCTTGAGTCAGATTGCGCGGTTGATGTAATCTGGTATCCGCGGAAGACTCAGAATACGTCAGATTCCCAGCACATGTGTGCACCGACACTTACGGACGCTTCATCTCTGCATCTCTCAATTCCGCTGCAGTTTCATGTCGCTGTGTTTCCGAATGCACACTCATCTCTGCAGTCACTGACCGGCGATACCTTCACATACCTCGTTTCCCTTTTCCTAACTGCTCAGTCGCTGTTCAACACGGAGTTTATGGTATGAAATGCGAGGGAATTGTACGTACATATACATTGAACTCCATCTTCCGTGTAAACATCTTTTTCAGCAACACGTACTGTTTCAGTGTGTTGTAGAGGATAGGGGCACGCGGTAGCGTAGTTGGTTGAGGCACTATGCTACAAGCCACAAGTTCGCGGGTTCGATTCCCGATGAGGTCATTAGATTTTTCAAGTGAACTATTCCTTCCAGCCGCACTATGTCCCTGGGGTCGACTCAGCCTCTAACAGAAATTAGTGCCAGGAATCTTCCTGGGGTAAAGGGTGGCCGGAGCGTAAGGCTGACAACCTCACCGCCGTCTGTGAATCGACTGTTTAGAAAATATGGGAGCCTCGACGTCTTAGAACCTTAGAGCCTTTCGTGTGGGTGTGAAACTTGGTGTCTCACATGGTGATCGGGGTCAGAATTCTCAGGAGGATACTTGGACCTAATTGGGGTGAGAAAAGTGGAGGGTGGAGAAAACAGAACAAAGAGGAGCTTCATAATTTGTACTCTTAGTGAAATATTATTAGAATAGTAAAATCAAGTTTGATAAGGCATGTAGTACGCACGGAGAAGAGAGAAGATCATATAAGGTTCTGGTAATAAAACCTGAGAAAATGAGACCATTTGTAATACACTGGCCTAGATGGGAGGATAACATAACGTGTAGAGCCGTTTCTAGGCAACGGCTCTGTAAATACTTTCCCGCAGCAACGGATACGCATGCAACAATAGAGGTATTATTGGAAACGATGTTTTCTACATGGTCCGTGCAAAGGCGTTATAAAGAAGATAATTGAAGCACCCACAGGGACCCCGTGTGGAGGCGGGATCGAATACCTCCACCGTGACCCTGCGAGTCGTAGGAGGCGACGAAAAGGGAAGTCTCAATTCTGAGACAGTAAAATACGGTCGCGAGTCCAAAGGGACTCAGACCCGAGTAAGACTGCACTGGCAAGGACCAGCAGCATATACAAAAGACAGACCCGTCCTCTCGTCAGAGAGAGCGCCCCACGTCAACAAACCCGCAAATGTCTGACAGCAATAAAACTCTGATCTTAAGCCCCAGATGGGTGCTTTATTCCAAGACAGACTGGCCGGCTGACGGTTGGTCTGACATAACTGTGACTTTGACTTTGATAAGAATAATTCAGTTGGAAATGAGCCGCCGTTCAGAGTGTACTTGAGCCCGGAAGCACAGGACTAGCCATTGTTAGAAGCCGTTACCAGACCACTACTAGTGAAGATACTACGGGCTGGAAGAGACTTAGCGTGATTTATGAAGTGTGGAAATAGTGACAGTGTTGTATTCACTTCTAGTTACGTGTTAAGTGGTCAGTAAATCCTATATCCATTCCAAAACCCCGTCTATAGGCACTCTACACGTGACACTAATATTTAAATTGATAGTAAGGAAATAGAACTGGAGAGTGTAGACTGAGAACTGGGAGAACTGACGGAACCTACCGAACACGGTGAACTGAGTAGGCATATGCCGTGGTAGCACCTTGACTAGGGCGCTTCCTTTCAAATACTTTACAATTCATCAATCATCACTCTATTCAGTGCCGGTGCTGACAGCGTCATGAAACAATCCACCCACTAGAACGTGCATAATCAACGACGTGAAAACAATAAAAATATATATTTTATTTAGAATAATTCATACGTTGAGCAGTAAAGTAAATTTGTCCCTGTACTTAACTAATTAAGCACTACGCTATGAAAACCTATGATTATTTGGATTTATAGATCCTCATGTTCTTGGTCTCGGTACTTGCTGAAGATGAGTTATCAGCTTCACGCCACTGCTGCCTTAGCCCCAGGGAAAGAGCGCTCGGTGCCAATTGGATAGGAGGCTGGGTGGGCCCTAGACCCGATCTGGATGACGTGGGGACAATTCTTGACCTCACCGGGCCTTGAACATCGACCCCTCTGTCGTCCAGCCCCTATCCAGTCCCTATACCTACTGCGCTATCAACCTTACTGAATAAAAAGTCTTATGTTTTCAATGAGATCACCGGCATGGTGATTTGAGCTCCAATTGTTATGTTGAAAATAAGATCTCATGATTTGTAACCTCAGTAACTCTTTTCTGATGAGAGGACTTCAAAGAGAGTTTCGCTTTACTGTCCAACTTATGTTTCAGAACGACGACAAATGCTCAGTGGCAAACTCTCAAGTGCCACTGAATCCTGCGGACGATGCAACGTCACACGGATCAGGGCTGACAGAGCCTGAACCTGAGCGAGGCAACTGGACGGGAAGATTCGACTTCCTGTTGTCGCTGCTTGGCTACAGCGTGGGCCTCGGCAACGTCTGGAGGTTTCCATATCTCTGCTACAACAATGGCGGGGGTGAGTCATTTTGTGGAGAAATGGGAAGCCCCCACAGGCACCCCCCCTCCCCCCAGTACTGTAGTCCTAGGAGCAAAACAAGAAATTATGGGAAGAACGAATCGCCTACTTTCTCCTGATACGACAGGGACCGCATAGAAAACGACGTCTCCAACGTTTCTTCTTTGCCACGGGAACGTGTTTACTGAGACGTTGCCTAGCAACTATAGGGGTAAACATAGACAGACCTACAGAATCTTTTTTGATACACGAACCGTATAGAAAACGACGCCTCCAAAAATTCTTTTATTTTACACGACCGTTGCCTGGCAACAATATGGGGGAACACATACCCATAAACTCTCCTTCGATATGACACGAACCGTATAGAAAACGACGCCTCCAATAATTCTTGGTTGCCGCGACAACATGTTTACCGAGCCATTGCCTAGCAACGATAGAGATAAACACAGGCAGATCCACAGACTCTATTTTGGTACAACACGAACCGTACAGAAAACGACGCCTTCAACAATTCTTCTATTGTTCCGTATGTATTCTTTGACGCAGTAAAATTTTATAGGGTAATTGCCTAGCAACGATAGAGGAAACACAGATAGACCCACAGACTCGCTTTTGATATGACACGGATCGCATAGGAAACCATGCCCTCAAAATTCTTGGTTGTACAGGAATGTGTTTACCGAGCCGTTGCCTAGCAGCGATGGAGAATACGCAGACACGCATAGTGAGGGGAGGGATATATGAAGTACGCCGTTGAGATGCAATCATATGCTATGATATACAGACAAAGTTTCATGAAGATTGGTTCTGTAATTCAAAAGTTGTCGGAAAGGGAGGGGGGTTCACAGGCAAACAGACAGCATAGTGATCGCATAAGCCTCTTTTAGGAAAGCAGGTTATAAATGTCAAGGTAGTCCAGTTTGAAAGAAACGGGCATGAACCACGACATGAGATGGTTCTCATTGTTTACGCAACGACAACTTTTGGAGCGCTTTTGAACGCAGTCTTGTACGATAAACAGCTTATCAGAATCGCACAAGTAAAGAGGCTTACGTTTATGCCTCAAACAGACAAATCAATAATTACACAACCTGTACGGCTTTATATTTCATTGTACATGGAACCCTTAACAAAAACACTTTTAAAACTTTCCTTTTCAAGTATTATTTTGATGATAATTTTATTATTGAATAGAAATAATCCTATTTGAAGAAAACAAGGATTTGAGGTTCTCACAGCAGTGGTTATGAAGAGTTCCATCTTCTAGGATACAGCGCTGTATAGTCCGTTGAAAGTCAACCGACGTTTCGGAGGAACATGTAACCTCCATTTTCAGGGTCGGAGAATAAGCCGAGCAAGAAACCAGTGTGAAAGCAGGTAGCAAGCAAAGCTCTGTTCAGAGTTTCTGGAGGAAGTTACTGCTTCCATCTTTAGGGTCGAAAAATAAGCCGTGCATGCAACCAAAAAGAAGTAAATAGCAAGCTAAGCGCTTTGCATGCTTGGTTTACTATTTTACTCTGAAGATGGAAGTAGTATATTCTTCCGAAACATTGATAAACTTATACCAGATTACAAATCGTTACATCCCAAAAGATTCCGCGTAGTCATCGCTGAGAGAACCTAAAAACCAATATAAATCAGTTCTCCGTTAGGCTGTGTTTCAGACTTCGAGGAATCCCTTTTTTGTGTCTCCCAGATTAAATATCAGAACTCGATTTCTCTTGAACTCTTTGAAGAATTAAGCTAATCCAAATAATATTTAAAGATTCAGTTCGTACCTCACAGGAAACATATTACGTCTCCGCTACAAAGACTAACCTGTTAATGCTCTTTGGAGAAATAATCTGGTTTTATTCTGAGAATCTTAGGAAAAATAGAAATAAAATGTGTGGAAAAAATACAGGGCTTATAAATGTTAAAGCAGGTGACACGTATACTAATCACTGTGCTTTACAGGCTCAAATGAAGTGCCATAGACGCGTTGGCCATCTCTCTCTCTCTCACTCACACGTGAAATACAGGATGTCCGGATGAAAGGCATCCAAAATAAAATAATTATATCTCGGAAAGTATTTATTGGCTACACAGTTATAACGGGAACTATCAAAATCCTTTCTAAGTATATAACTTAGACAATGTTCTTCACATAACCCCACAAGGAAAAATCCACTGGGGTTAAATCTGGCGACCTAAAAGGTCAAGCGATTAGTTGAACTCTGCAGATCCATCTCCCAGCCATCTCTCTGTCCAAGTGATTCCAAACATTTTGGCAGAAATGTGGCGGGGCATACAGCTCCAGCATGTCCCAGTACGAACGTCCGGTCAAAACCTTTTCCCAAAAGAAAAACGGTCCCATCAACTTGTCGTGCATTATGCCTGTCCGCACGTTCACTTTGGGGCTGCCTCTCTTTCCAACTCGGGCACTAGTTGGAGGTGAGTGATCAGCTTCACGCCCCGGCCACTTTACCTCCAGGGAAAGGACCTCCGGTACCAATTGGATAAGAGGCTGGGTGGACCCCAGATCTGGTCTGGACGACGTGGAGGAGAGAAAATTTTTGAACCCACAGGGACTCCGACGCCTCAGTCTTCCAGCCCTTGGCCAGTCGCTATACAGACAGCGCTGAAATCCTGCTAGGCTACGTCTGAAACATTCGAGGGCACATCATGCCTTGACTAAACATTCGTGCGGAAGAAAAGTCGCGTATGTTGAAGTTCTCCAGCATGGAAATCCCAGGAAACATAATTTATAAGTTGAAATGAGTAATATGACTTACGTTTATGAAAACAATAATACACATCTCAATAAATAATGCTGGTGTTTATGACGATGCAACCTCAAAAACATTTTAACATAATATATCAGCTTTCTGTCAGCATCTCTTATGCTCTTCCTTGTGTTAACATCAAATATTGATACAATGTTACCGCGACTAGAATGAAATTATGAAAACCAGGGGTGACCGTAGTTCGATTCCCGGTAGAGATCGGATTGACTTGTATTCTGTACTGTATCCATATCGTCTATGGCACTCAATCCAGCCTCGTATACAAGGGGTAAGGGGTGTCTTTCACAGGGTGCAAGGCACTTAGCCACATCAAGTGAAACCCGTTTCCCTCACTCTGTAATCAAACAAGTGCCGGGCCAGAGATGAAGCCTCAAGCTTAAAGACGGAGAATATGATAATGTGCTGCGTGACCAGGGCTGTGTCACAACTCAAGAGGCAGTGACAGATGAGTATGGAGCAATGGTGGATTGGTGATTAGTAGGGAAAACCCGAAGAAGACTTCAGAGAAACTTGTTCCAGTGCCAATTTTGTCAAACATGAATTCATTTGGGATTGAACCCGGGTCTCAGAGGTGAGAAATCAGTGCCTAAGGACCTGAGCTACGTGACGGCAACTAGGGCTCCCTTGAGAATTCGTGAAGCCATGACTTTGTGCTTAATTAAGCACAGAGAACACTTCAGCCTTATGGGAGTACATTGGAGGGACAGGAGCAATGAAAGCGGATGCAGATTAGGGGGGTATTGGGGGAGGGGAGGATGCAAAAGCGAACATAAAATCTCAATTCAATTAAAGAGAGAGTAAGCTGCAAAGAAGTGAACCAAGGAATGAAGAAGCCTTTTGTATCTTGGCTTTTAATGGAACCTTTAAAAGAGCTTTAATATCCACTCGACGCCGTCAGTCGCTTTCTGCGCATGACCTTCACCCTTTGATGGAGCAGTTGTGTCTACAGCAGACTTCTCTTGGAAGAATACGGTTGGGGGGGTGTAAAGTAACGGAAGAGGGGACTTTCACTGCGCCTTACAAGGGCCTAGAATTGGTCACTATCAGAGCCCATCACTGGGCCCTACCNTACATCATTATTTGGGCTTACCGGAGCCCATCACTGGGCCCTACCTGACACCATCACTTGGCCCTTTCCTACATCACCACTTGGCCCTACCCGACATCATTACTTGGCCTCACCCGAGCCAATCTCTTGGCACTACCCGACGTCATCACTTGGCTCTACCCGATATCATTACTTGGCCTCACCCGAGCCAGTCACTTGGCTCTACCCGACGTCATCACTTGGCTCTACCCGACATCATTACTTGGCCTCACCCGAGCCAATCACTTGGCCCTACCTTACATCATTACTTGGCCTCGCCCGAGCCAATCACTTGGCCCTGCCCGACATCATTAATTGGCCTCACCCGAGTCAATCTCTTGGCACTACCCAACGCCATCACTTGGCTCTACCCGACGTCATCACTTGGCTCTACCCGATATCATTACTTGGCCTCACCCGAGCCAGTCACTTGGCCCTACCCGACGTCATCACTTGGCTCTACCCGATATCATTACTTGGCCTCACCCGAGCCAATCACTTGGCCCTACCCGACGTCATCACTTGGCTCTACCCGATATCATTACTTGGCCTCACCCGAGCCAGTCACTTGGCTCTACCCGACGTCATCACTTGGCTCTACCCGATATCATTACTTGGCCTCACCCGAGCCAGTCACTTGGCTCTACCCGACGTCATCACTTGGCTCTACCCGATATCATTACTTGGCCTCACCCGAGCCAGTCACTTGGCTCTACCCGACGTCATCACTTGGCTCTACCCGATATCATTACTTGGCCTCACCCGAGCCAGTCACTTGGCTCTACCCGACGTCATCACTTGGCTCTACCCGATATCATTACTTGGCCTCACCCGAGCCAGTCACTTGGCCCTACCCGACGTCATCACTTGGCTCTACCCGATATCATTACTTGGCCTCACCCGAGCCAATCACTTGGCCCTGCCCGACATCATTACTTGGCCTCACCCGAGCCAATCACTTGGCCCTACCTTACATCATTACTTGGCCACGCCCGAGCCAATCACTTGGCTCTGCCCGACATCAATACTTGGCCTCACCCGATCCCATCACTCGCCCATGTTCGAGGCCAGCAATTGTTCCAACCCTCACCTTCCTCTGGAGTAAGAGTAAGAAAACCTCGCCC